ATTCCATTTTACATCAATAGGAAAACATGAAAAAGGAATTAACAGTTTTACAGTTTGAGCAATAATGTCAGAAACATTACAGATTCAGAATATGCAAACCTATAGAGTTCCAGTCTTTCTGTGTTAGACTGATATTGAGGATCTCCTGTTCAGCTCTGGGTGTCTGAATCCAAAAATATGAAAGATGGTGAACTTTATGGGCTGGTTCATTTGTGTGATGGAGAATAATAATATTGCAGTATCCTTTGCATTTTTTTAAAAAAATACGTTATTATCTTTATGTTCAAAAGGGTTCTCAGTTATATGCAATTTCATTCTGCACATTTGCTGCTAACGCTGAAGAAGATTTAAAAGTGGCAGCTCAGTCTGGTTCTGTTGTGGTGTTAACACAATTTTGTGCCACCAGAGCTACCACTGCCTATAATGCAGAGCAAGCAGAGCAAAACTAGAAGGATTAGTTCCACTAGTCTCCAAATACAAGGGAATAGCCCTTTGTTACACCTCCTTGCTGGCACAAGGCTGACCCAGTATTATAAACTCCATAGATGCTTTGTAGGGACCCCTCTGCTCCCATCCTGAAAATCCCTTTGCTTAGTGCTTTTGAGCATAGTGCTTCTGTAAAGCATTTTCCCCCTTGTGCAAGTGGCTACTAATGCTTCAGCAGAGTATAGCTCCCTATCAGCACTAGTCCTGTGTTCTGCTCCTACGCAGCAGAAAATTGGACTCTGTAGAGTATCAGTCTCTGTTTGGCTGTTTTACTTTTAAGCCTTTGTTGTTTTCTTTTGCTGGAATTCCATATGTCATATTATCTATGAAACAGCTATCAGATGGCTTACTGTACCTTAGAGAGTCTCAGTTTCTCATGTACCACTGCAATCTTTAAGAAGCACCTCTTAACTAAAATACCCATCTGCCAAGTTGAAAAAGCAGGGCATGTAGTAGGGTTATCTCAGTGGCTGTCCCCAAATGATGATGCTGTGTTCTTTATGAGGCTTGAAGGATTTCAAGCCAAACTAAGTACTGTAAGGCTTTGCTTGGGATGGTTATTATACAGCTAATAGAAAAATGTGTGTGATAATGTTTTACACAGTAGTGTTTTTATATTTAATGGATATGTTTTTCTTATTAGTTTTATTAAGTGGTGGCATTCACGCTAATACTTTGAAAGTTGAGCTGGAAATGAAAGCATGGATAATTATCACCTGTATAAATAGGTTAAACTAATGTTTTTCATCAGCTCATTAACTGCCAACCACACAACTCATTCGATGTAAAGCAGAGATGGAGAACCTTGGGCTCTCTTCCCGATTTTGGACACCATTTTTCATCACTTCCAGCCATCATGATCATTCCAACTGCCTTAGTGATACAACCCAATGACATGTGTGCTTTTTATCATGAACTACTGTATGTCCTTTATATATTTACCTTTAAGTAGATAATACTTTTATCCAGGAGTAGGCAAAGTGTGTGTTGCAGGTTGAATCTGTCTCCCCGAGGTCATTTTTAGTCCAGGGCCCCCAGAATCTCTTCCCCAAAATTCCCAAAATATTTTGCCTCAAATGGCCAGCCCGTGTATCCTCAGATGTGGTGAGAATTTTTTCATCTTTTTGCTCACAGGACCATTCCAGTCCCATGAGAGGCCTTTTTCTAATCAGAAAGCGGGACTGAAGTTGGCTTTTGGTTGAATTCTAATTTTCAAAAGGCCTCAGCTGGTTAAAAAAAGGGAGAAGAGTGGGACCCCAAAGTATTATAAGGAGATATTGTAAATGGGGGTGGGGGGATCAGATCTAGCAGAAGTAGACTTCTTATGGACCCCTTTTTTCATTTTTCATTTTCTTCTTTTTAGGTGGGTGGGTGTAGTCTCGATCCTTGTAAGGCCGCAGGCCCCTTTGTTAGGCAGAGGACACTGGGTTTCTCAAGAAGCCTCCATGTTTTTGCATCAGGAAAACAAGTGGTGTTGAGGTAAAACATGCCAATACAATCCATAATTAAGAAGAAAAAATATTTTACCTTTGTTGGAGGTCGAAACCTCAAATAGGAAGGTCCCAGTCCACTGGCTGACTCTTTAGGATTCTCTTGTTGCAGCTATAATGTGGTATCTTAAAATCCAGAAAACATCCAGGGGTTGCTGTTTTGGCCATTTAGCAAATTCAGTAAAAATCCACCAAACAGTGATACCTTTATTGGCCAAAATAAATGCACACTATACATGTGAGGCATATTGCAACTTGCTGTAATGTGTTTCAGTAGAGTATATAAGACTACATTTGGTTCTCCACATTTGTGGCTTTGACCTTTGTGGATTTGATTATTTGTGGATTTGATTAATATGTTCTCTCTAGGAATGACTAGGTCCTCCAGCGCAACTCTGCCAGATGTTGACCATAGAGTTGTGCTGGAGAACCTAGAAATTGCTAGAGAAAACATTTCTCTAAGCATTTATAAATAGTCAAGCCTGATTCTGTGATTAAGTTCTGGTATATGCTGACCACAAAGTTGCACTGGAGGACCTGGTGATTCCTAGAGAGGTGTTCTCACAGGTAAAAAGAATAGTGGTTTTTTATTTGTGGTTTTTCCACATTCATGGGGGTATTCACCCCTAACCCGAGCAAATGTGGAGGGAGCACTGTACTTTTGAAAGCTTGAAACTATGAAAGAACACAGGTAAGCTGAACATGATGATGATGACAACGTGAAGGACACATGGAACAAAGCCATATGAAGATGAACCCCTAATTCTAAAAATTGAGGTGGAAGTTGCAATAAACAAAATGGCAAAAAACAAGACTCCAGGAACAGATGATATTCCAATAGAACTGTTGCAAACAACATTGACAGAGTCAACTCTAGTGCTAACCAACATATGGCAACAGATATGGAAAACAACATGATGGCCAACAGATTGGAAGCGATCAATATACATCCTCATCCACAAAAAAAGGAGACACAAGAGACTGCAGCAACTATAGGACCATAGCACTCATCTCCCATGCAAGCAAAATCATGCTCAAAATTTTGCAACGTAGGCTCCAACAATACATGGAGAGAGAAATCCCGGATGCCCAAGCAGGGTTCAGGAAAGGAAGAAGCACCAGGGATCACATTGGAACGGATCTTTGCTGCTCTTTTTTTTGGACGGCTTCAAGGCGGATTGGGGCTGCAGCATGTATTTGCCATGGCCTCAGCCCGTCTTCAGGGCCATTTGTTACTCTCCTTGTTGACTTTGAGCAAGTCACAGGCTCTCAGCCTGAGAGGATGACAATGGCAAACCCCTTCTGAATTTTTTTCCAATTTTTTTTCCAGGTTTGCCTTGGGGTCACAATAAATCAGAAATGACTTGAAGACACACAACAACAACAAATGTTTATCAGCAACTGATAAAACAAAAATATTAAAACAGCAGTAAGATGATTTAACTCACCTAATATATGTATTTTAAACAGCTGAAGAAAGTGGTAGACATCTTGCTGTTATATTTTAAATGCTTAAATACATATATGTAATAAGTATATGTAATTAACTTCTGGGATGCATAAGTGCTTGTCTGAAGTGCTGTTAGTTTAAAAATAATCTTACTATTGTATACATGTGTGAATGAGGCAAACAGAATGTAAGGAATTAGAGGAAAGTTGTTGGATCAATATTTGTGGGTACACAATAAAACAAATTTTCATTATATGGTAAATGGTAGAAATACTCAAGGAAGTGGAATATAGTTTTTGAGAACTAGGAAAAAGTCTGCTTTTAAGAGCTGGTATTTTGTTCCAGGGAGAGTATTAACTTACCAGAGCTAGCACATGGTGTATAATATCAAGTATTCTGTTAAGGGTCAGCTTGTTTTGGAAAGGCTTTTCTTTGCAGAAGTAGTGCAGTTTCTAGCTTATCTGAGACAAGAGTCCTGCCATTTTTGATATTTCTTTAAACAAAGCTGTTCTCCTTACATATGGCTTTGTTAGAAATCATGTTGATGTTCTTTAACTTTCAATTTATATATAAACTAGGGGTTTGGTAAGCTGCTGCCTTTGAGGTGTTTTGGACTATAGCATGCCCAGGAGTCAGGCATCATGGCATTGTAGTTAAAAACATCTGAAGTGCATCAAGTTGTTGCAGCATCCCTGATTTTTAATTCATTAATTTTAATTTAATTAATTTTGTTGTCATGGTCTTGCCACAGTATATTTCTAAGCCTGAAGTGTGGCTGACTTTGCAAGAGCATCAGTAAAAATATGTTAAGAATTGCTGTTTTCTTGCCATCTGTGGAGTCACTAAACGATACTGGTCTGTACCAAGGTCAGCGATAGCCTGTTTAAGCATAGGTAATATTTATAGAAGCAGCATTGTCAGACCTATTTTGAGTGATCATTTTGTAAGCATGACCAAGTTTCTGACTAGGCTAATGAGAATGGAATAGACGGGGGTTTAAATCAGCAGCACATTTTGTTAAAAGGTCTGTGCCTACAACAACAACAAAAATCCCTTATATTTTAAAAAGTAGTGACAGTAAGAGCTAAAGAGCTTGTTAATATGCAGTGTCTTATCTTGTCACCTGTGCTTAAGCATAATTTTCTAATCTTTTAAAATTTTAAACCAGTTGAATTTGTTTGTGCTGTTGCTGTGGTGCAGATTCTCCAGTCTTTGATGTAGGAAACTTTTTTTAGTCAGCTCAAGTGCCTCCTCTTTGCCTTGGTTTCAGCAGGAGGAAAGCGACAAGAAGAGGGAATCCCATCACTTGCCATAGTATGAAATACAGTAGTTCTGTCAACCATATAGGACTTGTGGTAGCAAGAATAGAAGTGATGGATGGGAATGGGAGTGAGAAAGAAAACAGAGCAGAGATGGAGAATTTAAGTTGAGGAGTAATGGAGAAAAGGACAAACTGAGGCAAATAAAGAATTCTTTTATCCTTGCCTTTAAAGCCCTGCAACAAGAGCTTTTTGTATTAGTTTCAAGTCAGCATATGAAATGCATTTGCCTCATGTTTTCCTTTGATCTAGAGTGCCAATGTGATGTAGTGGTTTGAGCGTTAGACTGTGACTCTGGAGACAAGAGTTCAAATCCCTGCTTGGCCATAGAAACCCACTGGGTGAACTTAGGCAAGTCACATTTTCTCAGCCTCAGAGGGAAGAATTTGCTGAACAAATCTTGCCAAGAAAACCACATGATAAATTTGCCTTAGGGTCACCATAAGACACACAATAATACAGTCAGCCCTTCACATTTGTTGGGGTTAGGGGCACAGGACCTCTGCGAAAGTGGAAAAGCTACAAATAACTCATCCCCTCAATCACATTTGACACTCACAAAAAGTACGATCCCACAGATTCAACCCACTATGGATGCCTTCAAGGTGGCAAGGTTCCATTGCAAGGCAAAAGTGGGTGGCTGGTGGGGCTTGCTGCTGCCTCGGTTGCTCCCCTGTAACATTTTTAATAGGGTCTTGCCACACATTCACAGTCTCTCAGTATTATGAAGCTGTAGATCTTTGGCTAAGAGTGTTCCAAATCCCAGCCTAAGGAGGTGGTGGGATTCTGATGATTCATATCATTCTACTGATATGTCTTGATTTACTTTGTGTTGGAATGATGGCCTATGAGAGTCTAAGGCAGAGGTAGGCAACCTTTTTGAGCCGGGGGCCGGGTTGTTGTCCCTC